TTCCGAATTCGCCACAATGAGATGGCACATTTGTATGTTCATTAAACTCATTTTGGTTGACTGGACACCTAAATAAGATCTGGAGTCGATATGAAACCCAATTTATTAATGAAATGTCGCTATTTCTTTTTTTATGAAATTTATTTAATGTAACGTTAAGTACAGGAAATATAAGTTTTTCCCTTTGTTACTTGTTAAGTCTCGTATATCACTTGGCTGCTCCGTTTCAAACACATCCAAGTTAAATGTTGATGCTGCACATCAAAGACGCCGCCAAATGATGTAAACAGTCAATCAGCATTGAAAATCGTTCTTCATTACAGCTGAATATCCGAAGCACAAATCAATTTTTTCTTCATGTTCTTTGTATATACTGCTTAGTATTTAATAATTAAGTTGCATATTTTTGTGAAAAAGGAGAACTTAATGCATAAATTCACAAAGTAATGCCATGTCTGAAATTCCGAAATGTTTGTCCGTTACGACAAATTCTAAGCAAATTAATTTGGATAACAAGTAAAATTGAAATGATTGGTATACTTAAAATCAATTCTAGACAATATGTGCCGACAATATGTCCATTTAAATATTGGTACGAATTGCATTATGATGATGACCTCTGCAGTGATCTCCCCTTAATGGTCGTAGCGTAACCGGTGCGCAGAGTTTGGCGTACTTTCTTAACGGTTGAGAGAGAACCGCCTCTCTGATAGTGGACGTGTTTTAGGCTTGGTAACTTGTAATTATATGATTCGACAAGTAATATTGATCAACTTTGTCCTGGTTTTCTTCTGCCCCGTTAACGAAGACTAAATGCTAGCATACTGAGCATCATATTAAATTCGGCGACAATTTAAATTTAATATGATGCTCAGTATGCTAGCATTTAAATTTTCTTTGATCTAGAGGATAAAAGATTATCAAATTTATACATGTTTGGCCAATGACAATATATAGGTTTAATTATTTTTATTCTAAGCTCTCTGTAGTGTGGACACACAAGCATAAAGTGGTATTCATATTCAATTTTTCTCATGTTACATGATTTTCATATTCGGTCTTCACGTTGGGTATTATCATATCTTCCTGTTTCAATAAAAAAGATTGTGTGAAGAGGTTCTAAACATAGTAAGTGCTACTCTATATTATTTTCATGTACGGAGTCTGAATGTAATTCCCTAACAAAATTGTGTTTAAATAGACAATAAGTTTGTAATCTTGAAGAATTATTAATTTCGGCATACCATATTTGCATAAATGTGTCCAATAGTCTTTGTTTTATAGAGTTAATCGGAATTTCAATATCAAATTGGTTATCCCAGACATACCCAAATCTGTTACTTGATAGAATATCTTTAACATAAGAGGTCCAATTTTTTCCACCGTAATAACGATCGAAGTCCGTATCGGATTTGAGAAGGTGTGATTGTTTAACAAGTGAGGATATTCATTCTGTTTAAGTATGTTTTTCCGACATCGGAATATATTAACTTTACGAAAGATTTGTATCGGAACTCGGCCTAATTCTTCATAAAGGGCTGCAAGATTCGTTGACTTCTTTACCTCAAAGATTCTACGCAAAAAAAAATTTGTATGAATTAGCTCGATATCTGGGGCATCGTTTTAAATCCCACACTTCTGAACTTATATTTAAAATTGAACCTACTAAAGAATCGAATACTTTACATTTCTGATGAACTGATATCTGTATGTATCTAAAAACTGTAAAAATGTTAAAAAGTGCATACGACGAATGTTGAGCGACTGGTTTTTGATTTCTATACCAGTTACCATTTTTCAAAAGTGTAATACCAAGATATTTAATATATTTATTTATATATTTATTCGACAATTTCTATTCGTGTGTTGTACATACAGAAATCATACTGGGAATGTCTGCCTTTTTCATAAATCATGGCTTTAGTCTTAGACGTATTAGTTTTCAACCCCCAAAGTTGACAGTAATTTTGAATATCATTTAACATAAACTGTTATGTTTCGGGAGACTTAGCAAAAAGCGCCTGATCGTCCGCAAACAATGTGAGAAAAATCTTTAGCTCATTTATGGTAAAAATATTGCTTAAATTGTATTTATACAGCCGTTTATATCATTTACGAACAGCATGAAGAGAAGAGGTGAGCTCGGGTCCCCCTATTTTAAGCCTATGTGTGTTTCGAAAAAGTCTGAAAATGAAGATTTATACTTTATACATGACTTAACCTTGTTATACATTGATTTTATTGCTTTAACTAATTTGGAACCAATGTTTTCAGTAAGTAGTTTCTGCCATGGGAAAGATCGGTCTTCTTTATCGAAACATTTCTCATAGTCAAAAATGACACTGTGCCAGTAAAGATCTTCACCCGAATCAAGGGTTTTTGATATTTCCGTGTGAAGAATGAAAATACAGTCTATTACAGATTTTCCTTTTTGGAAACCAAACTGATTATTACATATCTTTTATTATTTTCTACCCATTTAGTAAGTCTATTCAGTAGAATTTGAGAAAAAAATGTTTGCCAATATGTTTACTAGAGTAATTCCACGATAATTTTGTGTATCGTTTATATCTCCCATTTGTATTTTCTGACGCGGTCAGGAAATACAATGCTGACATTCAATCTCTTGCACAGAATTTCACGACAAACCTAACAACAAGTAGTTCTCAAAACAGTTTAAAACTAGCGATGTAAAAGAAAGAAATATTTTTATTTTGTTACAAGTATCCAACAAATTACGACGCATTCAAAGTTTAAAAGTAGCGTTGGCTTATAGAATTGACGATAAATGCACAATCACAAATGACGCGGATGAATATCATTTTTATCAATGAAAATGCTATTTTTAGCTATGTCGATTACATGATTACCGAATACTTTGTAGCGTAGTACACAAATAAATCTGACTGTCGAGTAGTGAAATATATACATGTCGGACTGTTTTGGCGAGAAGATTTTCGCTAAATTTTTTACATCAGTGTTAAACAACAGGTTTATCGTGAACAAAATACATCAAAACTAATAATTTTAAAGATTACAAACCCGAAATGGAAAAACTAAATTCTGAATTGTTTGATTTTATTTAGGCTTTCTTCGTGTAACTTCCCCGTGGTACAGGGGTAACGCACTCGTTCAGGGTGTGAGAGGTCAGGGGCTTAAATTCCAGTCGAAGCAACTAATTAAAGTGTCTTTTGTAAGAAAGTAGACACGATATGCATGGATAATGTGTGGCTGTCATAAAAAAAATGAACATATTTTTTTTGATGCAACTCTAGTCATGCAAAATTGTATGTATCAAACTCAAACTGTTTTAGTAAAAAATCTAAACGCAGTCGCTGCATCTCTGTGCCCTGTAAGATGAATTAATTTATAGTATATAAAAATAAACTTATACAGGAAAATACATGCAGATGTACTGTACAGTACGATTTAGATTGCAAAGATCAGAAAATACCACAGAGCTTTCAGCCCTTTGATTAAATATTGGTGTTATTATACCTTCTCCCCAAACCAACGGATATTCTCCATTATTATATGAACAGTGTACTGTAGTCCATTTCTGAAACCGCCAATGCTTCCTATCGCTCACATTAGAATAATTACTAATTATTTGCGTCAAATTGTTCACAAGTTGTTGGCATCCGTTCTCAACTTAATCATTTTAAATTTAATAACTGTGAAAAAATATTATATTGAAATCCAACGTCTTTGATATATCAATTAACTTACTTTAATGATTATTATACTGATCATGTTAGTTATATCAAAGTTATAGGTATATTTTCCAAAAATGAAACACATCATTTGATTAGGCGTCATTCAATTGACGTACGGCAATGCTGTTTTTTTTTTCTTCTACTTTATGTTATAGCTAAGAATGTCAAACAACCTGAGCGAAATTCGAGATATGTTATTCTTCTAAAACAAATTTCAAAGAATATGTCAAATGTTAATCTGATTTAAAAGTAATAATTAAATATATGCATTCATTTCCTTTTGAAAAAAAAAGCTTAGACTTAATCAAATTTCTTATTACCTCTTGTTATTAACATGAAATGTAAATTCGGTATTATCTTTACAAATAATGCTTTATGGAACATACACTATTGATCAATCTTCATTTGAGCATCTTATGATATAAACCCATAACAACTGAGTTACAGGCTCTTTCTTTTGTTGTTTGATACGTATTATGGTAAAACATTACGTATGTGACCGTACCTATCTAAATTTGTTCCTGGTGGCAAGTGAGAATTGTTAATAAGAATTTAACACTCATTGTTTCAACATATTTCACTTGTCATCTTTATGCACCAAACGAATATGTCTAGATGAAATTGTATTAACAAAAACAAACATGGCAAGCTACATACATTTTATAGTGTGAGTTGTGTGTCTAGATTTATATTTGATGCATTTTGCAACAAAATAATATGTCTAGATGAAATTGTATTTACAATTACAAACATGGCAAGCTGCAAACATTTTATAGTGTCAGTTGTGTGTCTAGATTTAAATTCGATGCATTTTTATAAGAGGTCTAACTGAATGAGCTTTATGGTGATGTTTGTTGACGTTTTAGCATAAAATGTTTCGTTAATTTTATTGCATTATCATATGATTTTTCATACACCTTGACGCGATGACAAAGTGACAAAATGACATAACCGTGCTCACTTATAAAAAAAAACACAATGTTATCAAACAACGTGATGTCTTTTATATATTCAAGTATAGAAAAAGAATTGTGTAGTCTGTCTAAATATCTAGATATGTTTATAATACTCGACTACATTAATTACAGCCATTTTAATATCTGCATCAATATAACCTTGAAGTATGGATGAAATATAATTTAGTATGTTTTAAATGTGCAAATATATCAACAATAAGCCAACAGAAAAAAAATATCATCAATTTATATTTTCCATTCAATATATATTTCGTTACTTTTCTCGTTAAAGAACGACGATGTTAGCTACTCGACAGCGAAAAAAATGTAAACATCCGGATAATTCTAATCAGATTCATTCAGATGCTTTACCAAGCGTTTTCGTTTGTCGCGAAATATTGCGCCAGTAACAACACAAATTCGCAGTCGCTGCTTTATTGCCGAAAAACCCCAAAAGATATTAGATCAAAGCTGGTAGGTATTTGATGTCCAATATGTTAACTATCTGCAGCAGCAGCTGTTTAAAAAATACATGAGGAATTATAGTGATAGCGCTGGTCAATTAAATTGCATCACGTTGCCCGATAGCGGGTCATGTAATTTTCCAGGAAGGGACCGCCTCAAAGTTATTCAAAAAATATTTAGTTATTAGAAAATATTTTTTAAAGCAAATTTTGGTTTGTATACAAATAAATATAAAATTTAATTTATTTATGTTATTATTGCAAGTGAATTATGCAGTCCATGCTAAAATATGGTGTTTTATGTAGTATAAACTGCTGCAACATTGAAATAGTTCTTGACTAGATTCTAAAATATTATTTTTAACTGTACAGTAACTTCTTTATTTTTAAGTTATCCATTTTAAACTTCAAATACATGTTTTTTATCATCACCCACAGGATGTGTGACAAAATTTATTACTTTAGCACTCATTTTTTTACAGAATTATTTCCCAATTGAACTTAGAATTTTGTTTAAAATTTAATAAACAAAATTTTTTATTATCATTATTATTTGTTCTTCATTTCTTGTGGTATCTACTTTTATCTTCAAATGTTTGTTACTTATTATCACACACATCATAATGTGATAGATTTATCACTCTAGCATGAATATTTTTGTAATCACCCCCCCCCCCTCCCGGACTTTTGGTTATTGTTCTTTGTCATTACTCACATCATGACATGACAAGCTCATTTGTTTACTTGTTTTATTGTTTCAGATTCTAATGCCTAAGGGAAAGAGAAAAAGTGTTCAATGTAGTCCAGCCCAGAATGCAGCCTCCTCAGTGGTAAAAAAATACAGAGGGAAGCGAATGAGTCCTGGGAAAGTGCAGAGAGTGAGACGAGCCCTATACAGTGTAAGTAACAAGAGTATGTCACTAAGAAAAGCTGCATGTGAGTATGGACTGTCGTACGGGTTTTTGCAAAGGAGATACAGTGGGGAAACAGACATCAACACTATGAAAGGTCCTGCTACTGTTTTCACTGAACAGGAAGAAACATCTATGGCTGAGTGGTTAAGTGAGATGGCCCAGAGAGGCTTTGGCCTCAGAATGTTGTGAGTTTTTAGACTTTGTTCAAGGCATTGTTAGAAAAGAGAAGCGTAAAACCCCATTTCTTGATGGGAGACCTGGTTACAGCTGGTATCAAGGATTTAGAAACCGGAATGCACACATAATTGGTTTACGCTCAGAAACACCTCTTGAACTGAAGCGTTCAAAACTTTCAAAAGAGACACTTGATGAATGGTACACAAATTATAAGGATTTCCTGATCAGTAAAGGTTGTCTGGAAAAACCAGGTTGTATTTGGAATGCGGATGAAACTGGCTTCAACATGGGTGCAAACAAGAGCAAAGTTATAGGTCCATCCCGTAAGGATATTCCTGTGCCTCAAATAAGTGTTGGAAAGCAACGCCTAACTGTGATGTACTGTGGCAATGCTTCAGGACAAATGATGCCACCATTTTTTGTTTTTCCTGAGCCCAAGCCTAGAGCATATGACCCATTAAATGGAGTTCCAGAAGGAAGTTATATTGCCTATACGAAGAAAGGCTGGATGGACGGCACAACATTTTCAAAGTTCATTGATCACTTCGATAAGTTTGCTGGTGTTGAGCGACCTGTTGTGTTACTATTGGACAGTGTTGGAAGTCACATTAGCCAAAAAGTGTTTGTGAAAGCAAAGGAAAAGGACATTGAGCTATATCGCATTGTCTCCAATGAGACACATTTGATGCAACCCTTGGATAAAGGTGTCTTCGAAGATGCATTGGGAAAGAGATAGTTTGCCAGAAGTTAACAGAGGCTTTTTTTAACTTTTACAAACCTCTGACTGTTATCAATGCCTTCAAAGCTTCAGGAATTTATCCAGTGGATAGCTCAGTTATTTCAAGTGAATGTCTGAAACCCGGGCTGACATTCTGCAATGATAAGTCGAAAAAGTCTAGTACAGTCAAAGAAGTTGAAGTAGAGGAATATCCTGAACAAGTCAAGGCAAAGGGAGCACTTGAAGTATTTCAAGAAACGTTATCTACTCCTGTTCGTGAAAGATATCAATCACGGTTGTCTGAAGGCTATGACATTGAAGGTCAGTCCCCCTGTTTTGACATTTATAAAAAGTTATATCAGAAAGCAAATCCAGTTAGTACTGCTGTGTCATCTGATAGAATGATTTAAAAAAGTGGATTGGATTTATTAGCAGATGTGGCATTTCAGTCATACAATGATCCCCGAGATGCTGATAATAATATGCAATCAACTGATGAACAGACCAATTCAGTTCAGATCTCACCAGCACTAAGAGAGGCTTTAGTTTATCCTAAGGCACCAGAAAGTTTGAAGCCTGTTAGAAAAACATTACTTAACAGCTTGCCAGATAATCTTTCTTCACCAGAGAGCATTCGTGCAATGTTCCTGAAGCAAATTCAAACAGTGATGAAATTTGCAGAAAAGGAATACAAAGCAAAACTGGCATACATGAAAAAAAAGAGTAAAACAAATCTATGTGAGAATGCCTTAAAGAAAGGAAAGTCTAAGATTAATGTAAGCAAAGGAAAGGCACCAGGGAAAAAGAGAAAAACAAATAAAGTTAATAAAGCAGAACTGAGAACAGACTTTTGTAAGGGGTGTATGGCTACTCGGGAAGAACATATGTCATATGGATTTGATAAACTGTGGTTGCAGTGTGATGGCTGTGATGGGTGGTTGCATGCAGAATGTGTTTCAAGACCTGTTGATAAAGACGCAGACTTCTTTTGCCCAGATTGTCAATAAATGTAAATTAAAATTTTATTACACAAAGTATGAATTAAAGAATAATAGTTTTAAACATGGCTAGCCCATAAAAAATAAATAAATGTTTTAATGCTGTGCTAGTATTTATTCTTTTTTTCTTAACTTATACTCATTAAGATTACTTTTTTATATAAATAAAGCTATTGTTAAATATAATTTTCCTTTATTAATGAAATAATTTTTATTTTTCAGGAAACTTCAGAACAATCCATGGTCCTTAAAAAAGTCAGTTATCAAAGGGTATCACGCTTTTCAAATAAGACCACCATCAACTACACCCCAAACATTACCGTTTCTTAAACAATTAAAAGTATTTTAACAAATATATTTAATAATTATATGACCCCATATACATAATTGCTTAATATGACCCCAAATATCTATATACTCTCTCTATATTTAGTATAACTAACTACGTTCGTATATTGTTTAAGAAACGTTTCTTACCAAATTACCACGTGACCCGATGCATTCAAATACGGCTGCACAGAGCTAAACCGTCATTCTGTGGATTATTTTCGTCGGATAAGGATTAAAAAAAAGGATTAAAATAAGGATTATTCAACGAAAAAGTAAGTGAAATTTAACTTAGAAAATTTATTTAAAATAAAAATACTTAGAAAAAATTAAGCAACCAGACAGGTTTTAATTTGAAGAGACAAAATATTTTTATTTTCACTTTGCCATTAACTAATCAGACAGATAGACAGAGATGGATACAGACCAAGACCAACCAAATAATGCCAACACTAACATGGGCTGCGGCTCAGCACCCGCAGTAACAACACTCACTATTTCAAAACAACCCGACACAGGCACATATACAGTCACACACACACGTGCACTTACACATAACATAAGCAATGCAATGACACAAGACAGACTAGAAGTATACGTTGACCCGGACGGTTACAGGTCATGGACTTACGACGCAGGCTGGCAATACGTCCCTTACATACATGTAGAGCATCGTGGACGCCAAAACAATGGTGGAAGCAAATTATGCAGGCCAGTAGCTATAGAATTAAAGCTCATAATACAACAATTTCGGATATTACGCCCATTCAACAGAGTCTGTCAGCAACTAACTCCACTCAAGTACAGTCACAATTTATATCAGCCCCTAAGATATGGATCGGTACGAATCCAAGAAGGTTCTGGACTTGCAAGGCCATAAGACCGAAACTAGTGGGACAAAGCCTATACAGCCCCAACAGATTCCTCAGAGTTCCGGACCCGACCTCCCTACAAGAAGGCTCTCTATGCAGGTGCATTATAGACTTAGGCAAAGAATTTGTACAGTCAACAAACAACGAGCATATAGAACCGGAAGAATTCCCGAAGGACATAATTAACGACATGTCCGGCATCTGAGACATAGAAGAAATGACACCCGGAAGTTCATACAGTTACGGCACAATATATGAGAGCAGCGACTGCCGATGGTATCCCATAGGCAACTTTAATACAACGGAACTCAGAGAAGTACCTTTTGCAAACAACTTTAAGTCACAAAAATGTCCCACTACAACAGGAGATATTGAGGCTAATTACGCAACACTCGTCAATCACAACTTCTTAGACGAAACAAAGCCATTATTAATTAAAATAGCACCGTATCACTGCGAGTCTGGAGCCATAAATATAGTAGCGAAAATAAGAGTAACATATTCTTCCACAATTGAGTTTCGAACTGCGGTTGACCTGGGCTTCTTCACCATGAACTTAAATGGACTTGAGCACAACATGCTGGCAGACGACCTGTGGGAAATGGCCGGAGTACCCGAATACATGTGGAATGTAAACAGACCAAGGACCTTGACAATGCACAAAGTCGGACTGACATATAATCACTCAAAACAAAACATCAACATATCACGGACGGTGGACAATAGAAATGAGAACGTCTCATCAGAAGACAATACATCAGAAGATGACATAAGATCACGAGTGAGCACAGTTCTACAACAAAGTTTCGAACCAAACTTTAATCTGGACGCATCAGGAATACCTGCAAGATTCACACCACCACACAGCAGCACACCAATACCAAACAGATACAAAATGAAAAAAGGCAGCAGAGTGAAACCGTATCCATACCGAGCTGACATAAAACATGTAACAATGCAAAATGATGTAATGACAGCCTCAGGGGCAGCTTTACTTGGACAAACAGTACACTTAAATAACGGAGTCCCTCATTTGGGCCCCGACATGTATACATCTACAAAAGTAGTTAATATGGACCAATTATCTGCTGCAGATCAAGACAAAACATTAGAAGATTACCAAGAGTAATGGATGAGGATCGCTCAGGAGATTACAACCGTAGAATAGACCAATCATTGTATTATACACCTGATGAACTATTTATAATATTAGAAAACGCACATCACTGGGAATGGCCATCAAGTCTAGCAAGATGGAATGCAATATGGCGGCCACCAAATATGCCGTTAAACAAAAGACCCACCCCGATGGGAACATTCATAGAAAACAAAGATGCCACAAAAGCAGATTACAGATTAAAATCGGAAGACAATTTAATATTTTATGCAGTTGTTTATCCAACGACATGGATGAGAGAAGTTACACCAGTGAAGCATTTCACATCAATGCAGAGCAAATGCATAGCAAAATACATAGTGGAAAAAATAAACCCTCTACAAAGATACATAAATCAACAGGAAACAAAAGTGTACAGACTAGAAGTAAACATGACAAACAACAAAGCAAGTCCGCGAACAATGCTAAAATATTTCGACACAACATCCTTCCTAGTAGACTCAGACGACGACGGAAGCAAAACAATAACGGTACAATGGGACGACACACAAAATCAAGATCCACATAGAACAACATTCGCCATATACTTAGCACACAAAGCATATAATTTGGTAGACTTGAATGAACAATTACAAGCGTTACAACACACAGTGACCTTACAAGGACACAGCATATTAAATGTACAACATGATGTGAACTCGTACAACGCACAGCTCGGGGCTAATACCGGATATGTAGAGAGATTAAAACCAATTATACAGAAAGTACAAACTGATCACACATCACTGCAGACAACAACAACAGCAATGGGATTAACGGTTAATACACAAGTTACACAGCTGAAAGACCTTACGGCTAAATTCAACAGATATCAAACAAGAACGGATACAACTTTACACAATACACATCAGAATGTGTTATCCCTGAACAATAGACTGGAGCAATTAACGGATAAAGTGGACGATATACCGGACAATGAGCCAGATTTCTTAACGAGACTTACACAATCATTGTCAACATTATTCAGTACACTGAGTATAGCGAATACAGCGAAGAACATAGCTACAGACAACACGAGCATGCTCACAGACTTAGTATCAACAATAAGGGATGTTACAACTATTGCCAAAAATGCCATGAGTGTAGTTCGAGACTTGACCTCCACGGTTGACACATTACAAAACACAATAAAAAGCATAAAAGACAATTGGCAACCAAAAGTAGATACTGAAATATCAGACATACAAACACAACTTAACATACTTAACAAAGAATGGCAGCCAAAAATAATTGCACAAATACAAACATTACATGACAAGATAATAGAAATTGACGGACCAGAAATGACATTATTATATAATGGCCGTCCATTAGCAGAAGAATATTATATTGTTTCAGATAAAGATGTATCATAGAAAGCCGCAGTGTCACGAACACACGGAGACCATTAATAAAGATTGGTACACGATCGTTGTAGAACAAATGTCTCCATTTATCAATCAAAGCACAATTATCCCCACCACCTTTGTACTTGACGATGAGGGTAAGAAAATACTCAGATCCGACGGAAAGAGTTACGTCAGTAGATATGTTGAAGATAATGATAAGGACGTTTTAACACACGAAATTGTATACCGATGGCAAACACCACAAGAAGTCTGTGAAACACTAAAACAGGATGTAAAAACAACAACACTTATGACA